TTCGTTTAGTAAGCAAGTCTATCTCAGTTACTTTAGAGTTTTCCAGAATAATTCAGACATTTCTGAATTTCAAATACATGTTGTACTTCCTTTCAGTTCAATTTAGTCATATAATAAAGTCATTCTGGTATTCGTGGTTGATTTGTCTCACGAATACCCACTTATTAGTACTGTATGCGCTTTAGAGTTGAGCTGAGCCAAGTACTTCCAGAATTATCATCGCTCCAAATTTGAGAAGACGAACAAACATTCAAGTGGTAACTATATCATTCAGGTAATGATATAGCACTAGCGTTGGTTGATCACTTAAGTTGCATTCCATAATTTTTACTGGTAGCACAACATCCATGTTTATTTGGATTTCTTAATTAATCCAAGACATTTACTTATTATAGGTCATAAGGGTATTTTTGGTCATTTTGGTGCTTAGTTTTATTCCATTCATTTCAGAGCTCAAGGGTATTCAATCATTCTTGAGCTTGGTGAAATTCTTGGTCATTTGCATACTAGAGGTATTTTGGTCATTTCCATACTAGGGGTATTTTGGTCATTTCACATATCCATTGTATCATAATCATTTCCTTCTATCCGATCTTATTATTAAATTTAAACTTATCATTTACTTCAATCCTTTCAAACAATTCTGACAAAAGAGCATCATTGATAAATCATTCTTCAGGTATTTACTTATAACTCCGATATTTTTGGGTCAAGTGTCTTCTCAGATTTTACAAACGGAATATCATGAATTCGGATTATTTTACCTCTCAAGGCATTTTCGTAATTTCTTAACCAGATAATTTTCGATATTAGCTCTTAACGAAAATAATTATAATTTAAAGATCCTATGGTCAATTGCTTTCCCGAACATTCTCTGATCTTTAAATTATTCCTTAACAAACTTCTAGCATATTGCGCAAACCCTTTTTGGTGTTAAAACCAGTTATCCAAATTTTATAAACAAAATCATTATTTCTTATGCACATCTGTAATTATATCGGATCAATATATCTTTTCAGAGTTATTAACCAACTTCCAGGGATAATTCTTGTTATCCTACAACATAAGGGTATTTTCATAATTTTTCACTACGGAGTATTCTCATAATTTCATCATCCAAGTACCTTTATAGAGATAAATTATAATTCACATAGTCAGGACTAATTCCTTTATCACTCAATCACAGAACTTGTAATTCAAGAGAGTCTTAACTAATTTATCACTTAAAATTGTATTCGGTTCGAATCCATCCATAATCAAACAGACATGATAGACCAATCATATATATGTCCATGTATTTATCCATTATCAACATGTTCCATAAAGCATAAAGAGGTAGTAAAGTATTACCTCGATTTCCGTGCAATACTGATCGACCATAAAAATTCCATTCGAACGCCTTTGATCTTCAATTCAACTTCCAATAATTCCTCATATACATATCAATATAAATTTCATAAAAAAACGAGGCTTAATTCCGAAAAACAGATCGAATCGGATGATTAATCAGTGAAAAACAACTTACTGGGTTTGAATTTGGCGAAACGAACCTCAAAATCGGAACATCAACAAAACCCCTAATATTAGTCTTAAATTCCAGCTCACCAACTTGATTTCTAGCTTCCAATCTTTTTCTAACGAACACGGATAATTTATCGTAAAAATACGACTTCCAATAATTTTCCTTGCCATAAAAAATAACTTATTAGAATCTAATTAAAAATTTGGAAACCAAATTGATAAAACTAAAAACTTGTGGAGCCACTATATATATTCAATTACTAAAATCAAGGACTAAATTGATCTTATTGAAACCATTATGTCATAATCATAACAATATGGAAACTAGAAAATAAGGTTAGCTTTTACTAAACTTGGATGATTCACCTAGTAATTTACCCTTTTTTTCACTTTATCAATAATTCTTTCAAATCACGTGTGCTCTGAACAAATGCTTAACTTTTATACTTAAACACATTTAATATATTCAATTTTTTTTAAGCTTTACCGTGTTCTCAAAGTGAAGCAGGAAAGCTTCAACGACCAACAGCCAAACGCGTTGACCACCACGATGGTCGCCGCCGCCGGTTGTCGGTCTAACCCGTTACTTCACCACTTAAGCATCTTGGTCTCCTCGTCAAGAATACGGACTCCAATCATCAAGAAACTCCTTGGATAATCGTAAATTTACAAGAGAAGTTTCGGCCATCGCAAGCTTCAACTTCCCCGATCTCCTTTGTTTGTCGATGGATAGAGTCACTTCCGAGATATGTTGGTCGCCTTGTTGTTGGGAACATCTCCACCGTTACTATTTCTCAACGGTCGTCCAGATCATTGGAACCGAGAACCAAAAGTTTCGTTGAGAACAATCAGTGATATTTGCTGCCATTTAAATGGAATCATAAGGTCACCTTCTATTTTATTATAAAAATGGATATTGTTGTTGGAAAATGACAAAGCAATTAATTTCTTTAATTGATTTCCAGCTTGGAGGATACTTGCCGAAAATGAAAGCTGGAAGCAATGGGTTCCAGACAATGCCATTATCACTAATCTAATCCACCCAAAAATTTGTCCATTTATACCTACTATATCTTCCTCAATCTATTTAATAAAATAATGGTCTAATAAGACAATTATTTTCCAACCAACTTTATATCATTTCACATTTTAAACCATAAGAAATCTAACCCCATATTGGGGTGTGACACTTTGCTTCATATTTAAGGTGATGCATGCTAATTTATTGTTGTATCGCTCTTTCTTTCCTTTTGATTTAATAAGTAAATTCGACTGATTATCGCAAATAACCTTTAAAGCCAAAAAAGTATATATTATAAGTGAAATCATCAAACAGGAACCTCATGCTTTCCTTGAATGGTGAAATCCCACATCTTATACGTGATATAATCAAATCCCAAAACTGAAGAAAAAAACTTTTTTTTCTGTTACAAAAATGGTGTGGTAAAGTTACAAGCTGGAACATGGCCTACTCATGAATATGATCGTATAATTTATAAGTAGTTAAAGAAATTATTATATGTGGAAAAGCAAAAACAGGATAATAATATAATTAATTTAAGGATAATTGTAGTAGGAGATAGGATACTGTTATACAATGTAAAACTCTTTTAGTTTTGCACAGATTTAGGCTCATTGGATGAGTGAAAATAGATGATTGAGATTAACAGTAGGAAATGTGAAGATATTCACTAGAAAAAAAAAGGAATCAATCTTAATCATCTATTTTCACTTATTCAATGGTCATCTATATAAAATCAAAGAATTTTACATTGTGTAATTGAATATAACCCTTGTAATAATATATATTGGGCTAAGTGAAGATTTTTATCCTAAACATTAGATCAAATTTTGGGTTAGATAAAAAAAAATTAAACTCAAATTAAATCGAGTATCAGATGTAATATTCAAGTTGGAATAGTGTAGATAAAAATATCTAACAAGCTTAACCTATGTCCATCTCTATTTACAAATGACTTCGATAATTACTATAAAAATCACATATAAATTTCTAAATAATTTTCAAAGTATCAGCATTTCCTTTTTTTTTCTCCATAATATTTTCCTAAAATAACACATATATACGTTGAATTATGAAATGAAAACAACGTTAATAGTAGTAAACCTGACACTCTAAAGCAATCAACGCTACTTATTTCAATTGTTTAGGAGTTCAATATCTCTTAAGTTTAAAATTCAAGTCTTGTAAATGAAAAAATATATCAAGACAGCTTTGTACTTTCTGTTTTTTTATAAATTCGGAATAAATATAATATAATATTTATTTAAAAGCTCTTAATTATTTGCTAATGAACTTTTATACTTTTATATACGGAGTGTGCAACCCTATTACATCAAAGAATAATAACAATTCCTTAACTACCGAAATGATTTGATCTGTGCTAAAGATAATTTTATTAATTGTATAAAAGTTTGATTCGATTCGTGATCAGATTCAGTTTGAATGCATGTGAGCACCGAATAAGACACCTGTCTCTAATCCTTGATAAAAATCATATTCCATAAATATATAACTTTGTTAAGGTCAATAAGGTGGGCAAGAATGGCATACACATGGGGACGAATTCAAGTGGGTCACCTACTGTTGCAAAAAGGCAGCTGAAATCAGCACTAAAGTTCACCCACTATTTCTCTTCATCACTCCTTTTCTGTTTAACATATTTGACTCTCATTAGCCTTATGATTAAGTACAAGAGAATATGAAGAAAAAAGTTTCAATCACAAAGTATATGATTCGTTTAATCATTCCATTCTTTGCTTCATATTTAAGGTGATGCATGCTAATTTATTGTTGTGTCGCTCTTTCTTTCCTTTTGATTTAATAAGTAAATTCGACTGATTATCGCAAATAACCTTTAAAGCCAAAAAAGTATATATTATAAGTGAAATCATCAAACAGGAACCTCATGCTTTCCTTGAATGGTGAAATCCCACATCTTATACGTGATATAATCAAATCCCAAAACTGAAGAAAAAAACTTTTTTTTCTGTTACAAAAATGGTGTGGTAAAGTTACAAGCTGGAACATGGCCTACTCATGAATATGATCGTATACTTTATAAGTAGTTAAAGAAATTATTATATGTGGAAAAGCAAAAACAGGTTAAAAAATGGAAGAGAACCAAAAGAATCCTAAACCCAAAATCTCGTTTCAATTATTTGTTTTCATTTCGTTGATCTTTCCGGGAAACACGATGAAAGACAAGAATGGGTTTTGTTGTGTGGTATTGGTATTAGTACTAGTAGTGACAGCACACGGTACTGTATAACAAAACCCTGTTTTCTTTTCCCTTCATTTTCTCACACTTCACCTCATTGTCTATCTCTTTCCAGCTTGAAACAAATGGAAGCTAACTCAGCTTCTTCTTCTTCACACTACTGGTTTTCTCTATGCATTTCAATGGTGTTTCTCAGTCTAAATCTGACTCAGTGCTTTGTTACTTATGATAGGAAGGCTCCTCTCATTGATGGGAAAAGTAGAATTCTCTTTTCTGGGGGACCTTTTATTACTACCAGCTATGACTATGATGCTCCGATTGATGAATACGGTAAGAATTCTAATCCGAAAGTAGAACCGTTCGACTTGTACTCGGAGTTCCGAACATTAAATCTTTTTCTAAACTAATGGTATATTGTAATTTGACAGGCTTGATTAGGCAACCGAAGTATGATCATCTGAAGGAACTTCATAAGGTGATAAAGTTGTGCGAAAAAGCTCTGCTTACTTCCGATCCGAATGTCGTCACTTTATGAAGCTACGAACAGGTTCCCTGAAATTCATTCTAGAATTCTTTTATGCTTCTTTTGATTGAATGTGATTGTTGCAACCGTAAATACGGTGGTCAGGCACATATTTTCTCGTCCAAGTCTGGCGGCTGTGCTGCATTTCTCTCCAACTACAATTTGAAGTCGAATGCAAGGGTGACTTTCAATAATATGCACTATGACCTTCCCCGTTGGTCCATTAGCATCCCCCTGGATTGCCATTCAACACTGCCGAAGTAAGTGATTGGTTTGCATTCTTTGGTTTCGGTTAATGTAATAAGACTATAAAGCTAGATGCTATCTCTCTTTTGCAGGTCGGAATTGAATCATCTCGAGTGCAAATGGTGCCGATGAATGTGAAGCTGCAATCCTGGGATACATTCAATGAAGATGTAAATTCGGTCGAGGACGAATCACCCATGACGGTCAGGGGTCTCTTGGAACAGTTAAACATTACTCGAGATACCAGTGATTATCTATGGTACACAACCAGGTAAATAATGAATGATTGTTCGTAGTTCACATCTCGAAACCGAATCAAATGTTTTCAATCACTGATTAGGTGATTATTTCCAGTTTACAAATAAGTTCATCCGCATCATTTCTTCGTAACGACACGCCCCTCGCCCTCAGCGTGCAATCGGCAGGGCAGGGCATTCATGCTTTCATCAATGGACTGCTTACAGGTTACATTATTCAGCTTCACATTTCAGAGCAAAGCAATTTTGATGTGTTGATCAAACTGAAAACCCTTTTCAAATGCTTTAAACTTACAGGATCGGCCTTCGGGACTCGGAAAAAGAGAAGGTTTTCTTTTACAGTAAATGTCCACCTGCACCCTGGAGCGAATACAATCTCGATTCTCAGTATAGCAGTCGGATTGCAGGTCGGTTCTTCAAATTCCATTGTAATGTGTCAGCACCATACTGAAGAACATCCGTGTTCGATTTCTTTTTCAGATTTCATGTTCGATTTCTTTTTTCTGTTGTAGAATATTGGTACACATTTTGAGACATGGAACATAGGATTCCTAGGACCAGTTGTTCTACAAGGGCTAGTTGAAGGAAAAAGGCAGTTAACCTGGCAGAAATGGTCATACAAAGTTGGCCTTAAAGGAGAAGCCAACAATCTAGGTTCTCCAACCTCTATCTAATCAACCGATTGGATTCGAGGATCGTTGGCAACTCTGGTACAACATCCATTAACATGGTACAAGGTACGGAAACTGTGTATGTATTTATATAGGCGTGTTCAGGCATTCGATGTAGCTTAACTGAATCTGTACGATCTTTCAGGCATTTTTTGATGCTCCGGAAGGAGATGATCCCTTATCTTTGGACATGTCGAGCATGGGAAAAGGCCAAATATGGATCAACGGACAGAGCATAGGCCGGTACTGGACTACTCCCGCGAACGGTAATTGTAGCGGATGCAACTACGTCGGTGCATTTCGTCAAACCAAATGTCATTTCGGTTGTGGCAGTCTTTCTCAACAATGGTATGTACCTACAAGCCCCTCACACGGGAACTTGTCCCGAAATGCGTCAACTTATGTTTCGAAACTTGTGAATGTTTGTTCAGGTACCATGTTCCGAGGTCCTGGTTGAAACCAACCCAGAATTTATTGGTGGTTTTCGAAGAAATCGGGGGAGATGCATCGAAGATGTCGCTTGTAAAACGATTGGTGAAAAATAACGGAATATAACTGTACTCGATTGAAAAAATATAATATTTGAATGGCATTCAAATAATTTAGAAAATTCATTTAAGTAGAAAAACATAGAAAGCTTACTAGAGTTATGTTTCTATTATTAACAAGCATATCAACTTTCTTCATAGAGCTATACATATACAGTCAGGCATGGAAGAGTATCTACATGGCTTCTCGAATTCTATATACCAACAAGAGTGCACACATAAATGAATTGTAACGGAAATTAGAGCGAGGCCAGAAAGACGAAGAAAAAGATTGAAATTTCGGGTTTTTACTTCTTTATTTTCCTTTTAGAAAAAAATGGAGAACATCATATTTTGCTCATTGAGAAGCAGAAGACTCATCAACAGGATGCCAGAATCTGTTGAAAAACCACATTGTATCGGCTTCGACAGGGTTTCCTTCATTGTTGCGGTGCCAACTATAATAGGCATGAGTCCTGTTCTTGATATCGAGAACAGCATGACCGTAACTGGATTCTCGATACGCTGAGTATGCCGGTTGTGGCTCAATCATGCTACAAATATGGGGGGGAAACAAATGAAGACATTAGCAACTGCGAAGTTGCAACAATCATGGAAGAAACAGGAAAATCAAAAAATATATATATATATATAAAAGAAAAATCTATACTTGGATGCTAAGCCATCCACGTTCCCTCCATCACCGACTGTTATGTACACAGGTGCCGATTTATCCTTCACGGTAGTGTAAATACCCTTAACGACATTTGATGCGATGTCCGATACACGTTCCTGTAATGGTACATAAATCAGTAATCGACCAACTTCAGAGCAAACTCGTTCCACGAAAATGATTAGTGCTCATTGTACTCAAATATAGTAGATACTATTGCCAACAAAGAGCTTACAGATCGTTCATAGGCATGGACATGACCGGAAAATACGATATCAACTTTATACTTCACAAACCAGGGTTCATATACTACTCTCATGGTTTCTCCTTCCATGAAAGGGTAGTTGAAGCTATTATACCATGGGGCATGCATAAGAACGATTAACCACGGTGTTTCTCTCCTGTTAACTTTTGGTAGCTCCTGTTGAAGCCATTGGTACTGAGGAGTGAATCTACCTGCCGGAAAATTGCAGATATTTATCAGATGAATCCAACACGCATCTCTGCTAGTGCTATACCATTGGAGTCCACAATGATGAAAATTATATATATATATATATATATATATATATATATATGTATATATATATATATATATGTATATTCTTTACCATAGGCCGAGTATGAAGACAAGACTATGATGTATGCTGAAGCTCTCTTGATCGAGTACCAGAAGGGAGTAGTACTTTTTGATGCTAGGTAAGGAACTGGATAACGATATGTGTAAGGCTTAAAAGGCTCCGTTTCGCCCTGTAGCAGAACAATAACCATGTTATTATCGACTCACTCTTCCATGACATCTGAAAGTTGGATGACAAAGCAGTAGAAAATAACGACAAAGCATGATTTCGTAGAAAGTAAAATCATTGTGTTTACAAACTAATCACGTCAAGAAACCATGAATGCTTACAAGTTCAGGGGCTAAGTCGATTTCATGGTTTCCAGCAGTCCATATCCATGGTTGATATGCAACACTTCTCTCAATAAGCCTTCCCCATGTATCCCATCTTACATTATCATGATTCGGATATATATCTGCATATGAAAGATCCCCAACATACAATACCGTCTGACCTTTCCTCGGGTTTTGTTCATAGTGAGTAATTGTGCTATTCGAATCAAAAGTCTGCCCGAGATCCCCTGATGATTTCCAATTCTAACACATCAGGCACATAAGCAATAGACGTTTGCACAGCACATTCACATATGGAGCAGAAAAGCCAGAAACACAAACAAGAGAACCCCAGAACCATTTCATTTTCTTGAGGATCAAATAATAGAATACGGGGTTGAAAACAAAATCAAACATGTAAGCAACAGTAAAGGATGTTATCTTTCCTTTCTAATTATAGCTCGAAATTCGAATCAGTGACCTCTTGAACCGAGAGACTATACAGACTGGATAAATTGAAGCAATATCTTAATCAAATTAAAATAGTAAGCATGCATTCACTTAATCACTTACCAATGATACCAAATGTGTATGGAGCGTTGGGACCTACTGGAGGGGTTGTAAACCAGAATTTTCGCTTCGAATCACCATCACCAATCTCATAGTAATATTTGGTATTGTACTGTAAAAAAACAAATAATGGGACTCAGAATTGAAATCCAAGTATCATAATCTTAGTCTATACTTTTATCCAGAGGCAAAAAGTACAGATTATATAGCCTTGCAAGCATAAAACAGGATAACCGGACAGTTATGAATGCCGCTGAAAAATCAACACACCAATGATACCAAATGTGTATGGAGCGTTGGGACCTACTGAGGGGTTGTAAACCAGAATTTTCGCTTCGAATCACCATCACCAATCTCATAGTAATTTGGTATTGTACTGTAAAAAAACAAATAATGGGACTCAGAATTGAAATCCAAGTACATAATCTTAGTCTATACTTTTATCCAGAGGCAAAAAGTACAGATTATATAGCCTTGCAAGCATAAAACAGGATAACCGGACAGTTATGAATGCCGCTGAAAAATCAACACAACCTAAGGTTTTATTCCCGGATCTAAAGAGCGCCTAGGGTGCCCCTTAGGTCGCTGAAGAACAAATCCGTGCCGATGAAGAGCAACGAATCTTCAGAGCGAGGATAAAACCTTTGATGGTGTACCGGTTCATCAACGACGTCCAAAGAGGACAATTCTTAACTTATGTCGACAGAATGTAATGAAAGGGGAAAAAAAGATGGAACAAAGAATTCAACATTACCTCCAAATTTCTAATGATGCAGTGATGAATGTAACCAGAGGTGTACTTATGGAACTTATAAGTCTTGACTTTCCCCTCTGCCCTTCTCTTTTCATTGCTGTTTTCTTTCCAGTAAACCACTGTATTTGAACCGGGTTCATCCTGGGTCACCCATGAAACAATCACAGCTTTCCCCACATGGTCGCCTTGTGTTATGTGCACCTTGAAAATTCAAAACACCCGCATTACAAACATCCAATTAAAGTCTAATTTAGATCATACAAAACAACCAAATCTAATCTCGCGAATTTGATTCCTCTATTCTTCTGATTTACTAATAGAATTTCAATTCATAACATCGTCAAACGCATTCCGTCAAATTGAATTTGTTATTATTATCAATCCAATCAAATCAAGAAGGATAAAAAGATTAAACTCCTTAAAATTGACTAAATGTCAAATATACGAAGAGTGTTCCATTGGGAGCACAGTTAAACCTATAAACAAATGTAATAACCACCGGCTAACTCTGACCTGTTGGGGCGCATTGTGACCGGAGGGAACCCGGAAAACATCGCTGTGAAGAGGCATGTCACCGGTTTTCTCCGGTTTCCTGGCATAGATGCTGGTCTTCCCGCCATCACACAAATCCGCCGAGCTCAAAACCAAAGCTATGAAAACAATGACAACGACACACGGTGGCGAAGAAGAAACCGATGATTTCGTCCTTGTCACCCTCACCGCCACCATTTTTAATGTTTTACATAATCATGTGCTTCTCTGTTGTTTATATATCTGTATTTATATGTCATTATTATGAGTTTCAGTTTGAAAAAGCAATCAATATTCTGTTATTTTCAATAAGAAAACGGGAGAATTTCAGTCAATATACTAAATAAAATTTTTATGTCAAAATTAGGTATCAACAATTTCAAACCAATAACAAAATAGACAATAAATAAATATTTTAACTAAATGATGACCAAAATAAAGAATTTCCAATGCTTTTAATGTTAAATTTTGCTATTAGTCTCTACATTGTAAGTTAGGAGTTTCATTTTTTTAATTTAATTTGTTTTTTTTTAATTTTTTAGATTTTAAAATTTCCAATTTTAAGATAAATGAGTTTCAATTAAATCAAATTCTTTTAGGATTCGTTTGAGGATGTTTTTTCAAATGAATTTTTTCAACACAAAAGTATCGGGTTTTTTTTCAATTTCTTAGTTTGAGTCAACAATTATTTTTTAAAACGTGATTTTTTTTTACTGAAAATGAGTTATATGAGAATTTTTTAAGTTTCAAGCGGAATTTTAGATCAAAAGCACTTCCATAGACATTCCCAAACAGTTAGTAGACTTGGTATCATATATGAATTCGACCGGTTTAGACGCACCTAATTATATAGGGTATTTTTTTATTTGAAAATTTAAATTTGAATTAAACTAAATCAAATTTTATGAAAGATAGTCTTAAAATCTAATCAGAATATTCATTTTATAAGTGCAATTATTTAAGTTCAAATCTTTTAGAGAAAATATCATTATCTCTTACCGTTGAGACCACTTAATGAAATCTTAAAAAATATTAACTTATTAACTTTAGTAAAGAGGTGTAATTTCATCTTAAGGACATTTATGGACACTGTTATATAATTATATAGAATTATAATTATTATCATAAGGTGTTACTTTGTTGAGACCTTCGACTATTAAAAGTAATAAAATGACCCCTCAATTATAGGGTATCGCTTTATTAAGTTCATCGACCATTAAAAGTTATAAAATGGGCACCCAACTATTCATATATTTTAAACCCATTCTTTTCTGTTGAAAATGACGGTCGTCTAAGCTACACGTTAAATTATTAACTGGAATACGATAGTATTTTGAAATTCTGATATCATATTTTATCATATCATATTTAACATGTTAATGTCTACCGCAAACTAAAAGCAATTTTTTAATGGAAAAAGACAAATTATGTATTTATGAATAGTTAGGTGACCAATTTGTAACTTTTAATAGTCGACGAGCTCAACAAAGCAATGGCCTATAGTCGATGATAATTTTGTAACTTTTAACAATAGGAGGACACAATAAAATATCGTCCTACAGATCAGGGGACCATTTATGTACTTTACCCAAAATTTTAATTACTTAGACATGTTTAATTAAAAGTTAGTTATTTAATTTTTTTTGAGTAAGCTAATGTGATTACAAAGTAGTATTTGTTCTAAATACTCTCACAATGAGGTAAGTTGGTTCGTGTAGTTATTTACATATATTTAACTAACAAAATCAATTTAAACATGTTTAACTAACAAGTAAGATCCTGACTTTATGAACATATATATATCTATAGAACATATCTTGCAAACTCGATTCGTTTAATAAATGAAGCTCGAAACCTTGTTCATAAAAGTAAACGTACAAAATTCAAACTTAACTATTCCATCCCATACCCTCCAATGGTACAGTTTTAAATCAGAAAATAACTGAAAGGTAAATCGTGGAGTGGGGGTAGGAAAGGGAAAATTTTATTGGTTACATATTTTTTTTTTAAGTTTCATTGAGAAGAGTCATCAACTGGATGCCAGAATCTGTTGACAAACCACATCGAATCAGCTTCGACGGCGTATCCATCATGGTTACGGTGCCAACTATAATGAGCATGAGTCCAATTCTTTATGTCGAAAATGGCATGTCCGAAAATGGCATGTCCGAAACTGGCTTCTCGATACACTGAATACTCCGGTTGCGGCTCAGTCATGCTACAATTGCAGAAAAAAAGAGAGAGATCCACATCAAAGACTTGCAACATTCATGCATGAAAAGAAAAAGAAATGTATGATTTGATAAAAAGAACAATCTTTACTTGTTTGCTAAGCCTTCAATGTTCCCTCCACCAATAGTTATGTATATCGTGCTGATTGATCCTTCACAGGACTGCATATACCGTTCACGATAATGTAGGCGACGTTCGATATGTGTTCCTGTAATGTACAGGAATCAGTAATCAAGCAATTTCGGAACGATGATACGGAAAAAATAAAGGCCTTACGGATCGTTCGTAGGCATGGACATGACCAGAAAGTACGATGTCAACTTTGTGCTCCACAAACCATGGCTCGTACATTACTCTCATGGTTTCTCCTTCCATGTAATGATAGTTGTAGCTATTGTACAAAAGGGGAATGCAAAAGAACAATTAACCACGGCGTTTCACTCCAGTTAACTTTCGGTAGCTCTTGTTCGAGCCATTAGTTTTGAGGAGTGTATTTACCTGTGGGAAAAAAAGATTGCAGATATTTATGTGATGAATCCAGAATACATCTCTACTATACGAAGAGATTGATATGCTTTACCGTAGGCTGAATATGAAGACAACACTATGATGTGTAAGCTGAAGCTCGCTTGATCGAATACCGAAAGGGAGCAGTGCTTCCCGATGCTCGATACGGCACATGATATCGATGAGTGTAAGGCTTGAAAGGCTTTGTTTCACCCTGCAGTAGAACCGTAATTCTTTCATGACAGATTCACTCTGCAAAGTGAGTACAAGTTGATCACAAAACGAAAGAACGAAAGCTTACGATTTCAGGTGCGAAGTCAATTTCGTGATTACCAGCAGTCCATATCCACGGTTGATATACAGAACTTCTCTCGACGAGCCTCGCCCATGTATCCCACCTTACATTATCATGATTTGGATGGTTATCCTCATAAGAAAGACCCCAATGAACAATACTGCCTGACCATTCTCCGAATTCTTTTCATAGTAAGTGTGAGATTTGAAGCATAAGTCTGCCCAAGATCCCCTGCATAACCATTTTCCATTCCAAATCATCAGCACGGCCAAACAAATGCCGGTATCTTCGGCTACACAAGAAATTGTGTGCTCCCTTGAATGAATCCTTTTCGAGGGTAACAAATCCTTTCGAAGCCGATCTACATCAAAAGAGTACAAACTGGTTCATGTTCAAGACACCAGCACAGCCCCGACCAACAAGTCGGTGTTGAAAAGTCAAGCAACAAGTTGACCAAACTTTCGATGCAACAAGTTGGCAACCGAAATTGTTGAAAAATAGAATGGTAAAATTTCTCAATTAGTCCTTGTACTTTAGGATATTTATAAGATTAGTCCTTTAGCTTCAACTATTCACAATAGTGAAATAGTGTGAGTTATCCGTAATAGAAGCTATGGCAACGAAATTTGATATTGAAAAGTTCAATGAGAGAAATTTCTCATTGTGGTAATTGAAGATGAAGACCATCCTAAGGAAAGACGGTTGTCTAGCGGCTATCAGTGAAAGGTCGGTAGATTTCACAGATGACAGCAAATAGAACGAGATAGACGAGAATGATATGGCAAACCTTCATATAGCATTAGCAGATGAGGTATTGTCAAGCATTGAGGAGAAAAAGACAGCTAAGGAGATATGGATCATCTCACCAAACTGTATGAGGCCACATCATTGCACAATAAAATTTTCCTTAAGAGGAAATTGTACACTCTGTGGATGCCAGAATCTACTTCAGTGACGGAGTACTTAAACACATTGAACGCCTTATTTTCCAGCTTACATCATTAAGTTGTACAATAGGAGAACAAGAATGTGTTGAACTTCTACTTCAAAGTCTGTCTGATTCGTTTGATCAACTCATCATCAACTTGACAAACAGTAATGCCACTAATCTAGTATTCGATGACGTTGCATCTGCTGTTCTACAAGAAGAAAATTGGCACAAGAACAAGGAAGACAGACAAGTAAATTTGCAACAAGCAGAAGCATTGACAACGATGAGAGGGAGATCAACAGAACGTGGCCAAAGCAGCAGTCACAAACATGGTAGATCAAAGACGAGAAGCAAGAAGAATTTAAAGCGCTACAACTGTGGAAAGAATGGTCACTTGAAGAAGGATTATTGGAGTCTAGGTAAAAACTCCAATCCACAAGGCAATACCGCAAACACTTCAGATGATGGAGATGCTCTATGTTGTGAAGCGTCAACCACCGTGGAAGGTAGAAAGAGATTTGTAGATATATGACTCATTGATTCGTGAGCAACATATCACATGACCTCAAGAAGAGAATGGTTTCATCATTTGTCTCAGGAGGATCTATGTATAGTTGCAATGATCATGCCTTAGAAATAATTGGTGTTAGAACTATCAAATTGAAGATGTATGATGGAACAATTAAAATTGTTCGAGAGATGTGCGGCACGTGAAAGGCCTAAAGAAAAATTTATTATCCTATGGATTGTTAGATGATAATGCAAGCAAGATTGGAACACGAAAAGGAATCATGAAGATGTTTCATGGAGCGCGTGTGGTGATGAAAGGCGAAAAGATAGCAACAAACTTGTACATGTTGAAGAGAGAGACTTTGCTAGAAGCAGAAGCCTTTGTTGCCTCATGTAGTTCAGATTCTGCAATACTATAGCATCAGAAACTTGGACACATGTCAGAACAAGGAATAAAAGTCCTTGTGGAGCAAAAGCTACTTCCAGGCTTAACAAATGTATCACTGATAAGATGCATATTAGACATATATTCTATGATATTTTCCTCATATTTGAATAACTAAAATTGATTAAATTATGGATTTTGATTTTATTTCGTATTTTGTGGATTAGGTTGAGGATTTGGATAAAACAAGTTCAAAATCTTATAATTAGCATGATCTTCACAAAATCCCTGAATTAAGGAGGAAAAATCGGAATTCAAGAAGCTAGCAAGACCAAAAGAGGTTTTCGCGTAAGGCGTGGGCACGACTTATTC